TAGTGTGGCCGCACACCACCGAATTAATGTGGTTAAATTAATGGGGTAGTGTGGCCGCACACCACCGAATTAATGTGGTTAAAAACCGAATTAATGTGCTTAGTGTAGCCGCGCACAATCGAATTTATACAACCTGTTTCCCAAATTCGAATTATCTAAATTCGGATTAATCCCGTAGTGTAGACATACCCTAAGTCTTTATTGTCTCGAAGACCTGATCTACACTTAAAAGTTAGGTTGGCATAGCTACTCAGTTCCGGGGTGTGAAAAACTCAGACACCTGAGCGCTGTAGTTTTACTGACCTACCTCCCTGCAGTGTAGATACAGTTAGGTCAATAGAAGAATTCTTCTCTTGACTTAGCTGCCACTGTTCTGGGAGGTGGATTACCTACATCGATGGAAAAACTCCTTCTATCACTGTAGGAAGCATCTACGCTAAGGAGATGTAGTGGTATAGCTGCAGCCCTGTAGCTGTGCCACAGTAGTCCCTGTAGTGCAGACATGCCCTTAGTTTACAGACAAGTAGAGAGAGGCATAAATCATAACCTGGATCCAGCCTTGCCATCACCAAACCCTGGCAAACTCTAGAGCCAGACTTGGTGTCTTAGAGTACGTCTATACTTACCTGCTGGTTCGGCGGCAAGCAATCGATCTTCTGGGATCGATTTATCGCGTCTTGTCTAGACGCGATAAATTGATCCCGGAAGTGCTCGCCGTCGACGCCGGTAATCCTGCTCCGCGAGAGGAGTAGGCGGAGTCGACGGGGGAGCCTGCCTGCCGTGTGTGGTCCCGCGCTAAGTACCTTTAAGTTCGAACTAAGATACTTCGACTTCAGCTACGTTATTCACGTAGCTGAAGTTGCGTATCTTAGTTCGAACTGGGGGCTTAGTGTGGACCAGCCCTTAGGTTCATCTCATTACCTTCAACAGGAAATGTAAAATAATATTAGTAGGGCTGTCAAGCGATTAAAAAAAATTAATCACGATTAATTGTATTAATAACATAAGCATGCTGTTAATCATAGAATACCATTTATTTTAATATTTTTGGATGTTTTCTACATTTTCAAATATATTGATTTCAATTACAACACAGAATGCAAAGTGTACAGTGCTCACTTTATATTTATTTTTATTACAAATATTTGCACTGTAAAAAACAAAATAGTATTTTTCAATTCACCCAATACAAGCACTATAGTGCACTCTCTTTATCATGAAAGTTGAATTTACAAATGGAGAATTATGTACAAAAAATAACTGCATTCAAAAATAAAACAATGTAAAACTTTAGAGCCTACAAGTCCACTCAGTCCTACTTCTTGTTCAGCCAATCACTCAGACAAACAAATTTGGTTACAATTTGCAGGAGATAATGCTGCCCTCTTCTTGTTTACAGTGTCACCTGGAAGGGAGAACAGGTGTTCTCATGGCAGCGTTGCAGCCAGCATTGCAAAATATATACGTGCCAGATGCACTAAAGAGTCATATGTCCTTTCATGTTTCAACCACCATTCCAGAGGACATGCATCCATGCTGATGATTGGTTCTGCTCAATAATGATCCAAAGCAGAGCGGACCAACGCATGTTCATTTTCATCATCTGAGTCAGATGCCATCAGCAGAAGGTTGATTTTCTTTTTTTGGTGGTTCCAGTTCTGTAGTTTTCACATTGGAGTATTGTTCTTTTAAGCATTCTCCAAACCTCTTCCCTCTCAGATTTTGGATGGTACTTCAGATTCTTAAACCTTGGGTCAAGTGCTGTAGCTATTTTTAGAAATCTCACATTGGTACCTTCTTTGCATTTTGTCATCTGCTGTGAAAGTGTTCTTAAAACGAACATGTGCTAGGTCATCATCTGAGACTGCTATAACATGAAATATATGGCAGAATGCGGGTAAAGCAGAACAGGAGACCTACAATTCTCCCCCAGGGATTTCTGTCACAAATTTAATTAATGCATTATTTTTTTAACGAGCATCATCAGCATGGAAGCATGTTCTCTGGAATGGTGGCCGAAGCATGAAAGGGCATACGAATGTTTAACATATCTGGCTTGTAAATACCTTGCAACACGGGCTACAACAGTGCCGTGCGAACATCTGTTCTCGCTTTCAGGTGACGTAAATAAGAAGCAGGCAGCAGTATCTCCCATAAATGTAAACGAGCTTGTTTGTCTTAGCGATTGGCTGAGCAAGAAGTAGGACTGAGTGGACTTGTAGACTCTAAAGTTTTACATTGTTTTGTTTTTGAGTGCAGTTATATAACCAAAAAAATCTACATTTGTAAGTTACACTTTCATGATAAAGAGATTGCACTATAGTACTTGTATGAAGTGAATTGAAAAATACTATTCCTTTTATCATTTTTACAGTAAAAATATTTGTAATAAAAAAGTGAGTACTGTACACTTTGTATTCTGTTGCAATATAAATCAATATATTTGAAAATGTAGAAAAACATCCAAAAATATTTAATGCCAATTGCTATTATATTGTTTAACAGTGCGATTAATTGCAATTAATTTTTTGTGTTAATCGCGTGAGTTAACTGTGATTAATCAACAGCCCTAAATATTAGTTTTTCTCCTATTAAAATGTTTGATAGGTAAAACCAAGGTTTGTTTTCCAAAGCCTCATCAGTCAGATTGTGGCTTTGCAAAACCAAAGGTTCATTTTTCTCTGACCCTCAAAACTGAGGACAATCAACCTGAAAAGTTTGAGGTTTTAAAATTACGCTGTTAGAGTCGAGTGCAAAAAAGTTGCAATAACTTATTATCGAAAGCATTTTTGTGCTAATATAATTAAAAATGCTCAACTGTTCGTTCATTTGCCAACAGTCTCACCTGGGGGTTGAGACCAAACACGTAATGTTTCAGCTCTGAAGGAAGCTGAGTAATTTAACAGAGGGATTTAAAATAGAACAGATCATCTCTAGTTGTTTTGTAGCACTTGTGGAACACTTTGACATACATGTATAAAATGAAGTAAGGTAGGTTTTGTTTTGAGTGATTTTACTGAGTCTTAGACATGTGACAAACCTCACATTTGTGGGCAATTGTTAGCTGTATATTGAGTTGTCAGAATATTAACTCTTGTACCATCCTCCTCCTTTCCAAAATATTAGCTGCTTGCAGATGGCACCAAGAAAACCAAGAGAGAGAAAGAGAGAGAGAATATAGTTCAGCCCTAAAAGACTCCTCTTCCTGCAGGACCTCCTGTGCACTTTTATAGTGGTTTGAATTTTGACTCCTTTTTGGTTCATGATGCGCTAGATATCGCATTGTACATCATTAGATCAGTAAAGTTCCCATTTGAATATACCTGAATTAGTCCTGAGCCTTATTCGACCCTTTCAGACCCACCTCAGAGGGGCTCGGAGTTTGGAGTTAGATGCCAGTGTCATCCTGGTATTAGTCCTGCAGAGACAATATCAATGTATTCGTTACCGTGAAGTACCAGATTCTCCACGTGAACTCCATTTCTGTTCAAGGATTTGTACTCTTCCAACAATGCGCAATGCTTTCTCCCCTGTTGGATTCCGATGGTGCCAACTCCCTGTAATTAATGAGATTTTTAGGATATTGACAGCAAAACCTAGCAATAGCAGTGGTTCTCAAACTTCTTTGATCGCGCCCCCCCCCCTTCTTTGTGTCTGTAGTCGCTTATGCAAATCTCCTACCCCCCAAAGTACATATACTCTGAAGGCAGAGCAGAAAGCAGCAGCGGCTGCCGGCTGGGCGCCCAGCTCTGAAGCCAGTGCTGCGCCAGCAGCAGTGCAGAAGTGAGGGTGGAGATGTGAAAAGTGATATTTGTCAATATCACTTGTCACAGGAGACTTAGTGCCCATTGCCACCCTTACTTCTGTGCTGCTGCTGCCGCCTCGGGGCTGACAGCTGGAGCTCCCCTTCACCACCTGTTGAGATTTTGGGGGGTGGGGAGGAGGAGCGCCCAAGCCTGGGTGGCAGTACTTCAGCTGTCAGCCCCGGGGCGGCAGGACTCCAGCCGTCACTCTGGCTGTCCCCTTTATCCCATCCCCCACCTCCCGGTGTGCACGGCCCTTCTGCACGAGCCCAGCAGCCCGGGGCTGACAGCCAGAGCTCTTTTTAAAAAAAAAAGAAAACCGCACATCTCATGCCTCCCTTGACACATTCCCGTGCCTCCCTTGGGAGACCCATCCCATAATTTGAGCACCACTGGTATAGAGAAGTAATCTACCCCTTTATATAGCTGTACTTGCATCTAGAATGCCTATGTATACAGGCAGTCCCATCACGTCTGTTGCCCTTACTCTTTCCAGCACAGGAAAACCCTATCAAATATGGTGCGTTTTATCTGGAGACAAGTACTTTCCCATTAATTGTATTGATTTCCTTGACAGTGTTAAAAAAACGAATCCTTCTGCCGATTCTGCCATGTCTTTGGTCCTTGATAGACCATGTTCAGGTGTCTGGCAGGACACCAGCTACTTCTGTTGTCTAAATGGATACAACTCCCTGATGTATCTGACTGATTCGACCCTTATTACAGATTCCCTGTCAACAAAACCACCTTCCACTGCAGCAGGGGACGACCCTGTCCCACTTCCCCTTCCAAAGAATCGGGCTGTGCAGATGGGGGTCTGAGTGTAGTGTTAATTGGAGACACACAAATCCCAGTCTTGTTTTTCACTAACATTCTGTTGCACAGGCCTCACTGCTCACCCTGCAAAAGACTGTGACAATGTGGAAGGCTGGAGGATTTACAGAAATGTTTTTTGTTAAAATCACAACTTGACAAAATTGTTGCTATAGTTACATTAAGACCAGCTGTGCAACCAGTAGAACAGGAGTGGCCCAATGTATCCTCTTGAGACTCCACATCCCAGCTTGATCTAAATGGAAAATAATGGAAACAGGTATTCGAGGAGACCAAACCAGACTTCTTACAAGACAGGCATAAACTTTCAGGCAAATCCCAGGTGCACATGTGAGCATGTTTAGTCAGCAGAACTCAATCCAATGATCTATTTAAAAGGAGGAAGACTTTTTGAAGATTTAAATGAAGGAAAGCAATTCAGTGTGTCTTAATTACCTCAGTTGTCCTGCTGGTCCTGTTAAAGGCCACTGAGTTTTGGAACCTGTGCACAGGGAGAGACAGATGACGACAAACCAGGCAGCGCAGCTAGAAGTTTTGGATAGCTGGTTGGAAATAGGAAACTTGGACAGAGAGATCCTAGTGATCTAGTGTAGGGGCACTCATTGTCACACTGAAGGTCATGCTGGAAATTTGACAAGAGCCTGAGAGCTGATACGTTTACCAAGAATCTTAGCAAAAATAAATGAATGCAACTTTAACTTGTTGGTAATACATCTTTCTTGATAAATAGAAATTGTTATCTGAGGTTACTAATAACCAAATCCACAGCTGATCAAACACATCCTCCCCTCTGCATGAAGATGGCTGCTGTTAGTCATGTTTCACCCTTGGCTACATCTGTTCAGTCACTGTGGTGTTCTGAAAAAGTATTGCTGGCTGAGACTGAGCACTTCTCTGGTGCCTTTCACCCAAGGATCTTAAATCTTATCACCTTCAGGCCACACTCCCATTGTGAGGCTGGTATTATCCCCATATGTAAAATGGGGATACAGGTACATAATGGGTAAGTGATGTACCCAGGGGCACAGAGGAAGTTGCTGGCAGCAGAATCCAGGAACTGTTGCGCTGTCCCCAGCTCCAGCTTCTCTGAAATGTGCCTGCTGTGTATTTTCAGCAGTGCACAGCGAGCTAGCATGCCGTTAAACATGCCTTGTGCTGTGTATTTGTATCGAATACGTAGCTTCTCCTGCACGCCGTACTGATCAAATGATAGTACAGTAAAAGCCTTAACTTGATTGAAGAACAGTTCCTTTCTGACTCAACATGGCAAAGTGCCCAAACACTCTTATATCGGAATGGCCAGCCGAACTTCTGGAAGGCAGTGACCACAAGGAGCTCCCCGTTCAGAACCGTATATTTGAAGAAGCTGGGGGAGGGGAGAGAGAGAGCGGTCACAAGACTATAACCATGCATGTTGTGTGCTTTGAATTGCTAACACAAGTTTGGTGTGTTGTGTTTCCTAATCCAAACAGAACATCAGAAGCCTTGATGCATGTAGTGTGTGTGTACTGCAGCTGGAGTGGGCCACAGACCAGGTATTTATAGCTACCCATTTATGAGCTTTCACTACAACTTTCACACTGCCAGCAGCAGGGCTAACCTTGCTTTAAACAGTATTATGGAGAAACCTATGGGATGTGAAATTGACAGCTCGTTCCTTTCAGAGGATGAAAACATTCCACCTCCTTTATCTAAATGTAACAAACCTATCGTGTGTTTTTTTCCTCATTTAAACATTTGTTTAAACCATTTGTTCATGGAAAGGAGGGGCTAATCGTTGTATGAGCTTTCTTGCACTACTTTCCTACTGCACCTTATTTCTTACCCACAGCACCTATGGTGCATAAACCTGAAACTCTTGAGCAGAGATGGCTAGTCACATTGAACTGCCTGGTTACTTTGCAATGTACACAAACCAGAACTAGAAGGACACCATCACACTGATATTTACTTGTGTCCTCAGCTAAGATTCAAACACAGGTCATATCTGTATTCATTTTGGATTTTTAAAGCAAGAAATTAATTGGTGTTGACAGCAAGTCAGGTTACCAATATACAGCCATTGGCCACTGGTTGGTTGGGCTTTATCTGACAACAGATATAAAGAAAGAAATAATATAAAGAAACCTGGTTAACTGTATGGTTATGTTAAGCTTCCTAACTGAAAGACTACAACTTCAGCTTGTAATGGCTGCATGTGCGGAGTTTAACAAACAAGCCGTGACCATGTTATAGCAATTGATTATTTTATTTTTTTAAAGGTGCTAGCAGTACTGACGCCCCCTGGGTTACGCAAACCCAACTTACGCAAATCCACACTTACGGGAAAAGTTCCGTAAGCTAGAAATAGGTTTGGGGGGCGGGGGGAGGGGTTTGCATAATGCTCGGGTATACATTTCCGACTTACGCAAAATTTGAGTTACGCAAGGCGTTCCGAAACGGAACGCTTGCGTAAGTCGGGGAGCGTCTGTACCTAAACACTTGCAGTAAGTTTATTATGCAAAGCTGTCTGATTATTTTGAAGTGTCTTGGGCACAACTAGATCATATGCATACTACTTTATTACACCTTGAAAACGTACACTCCCTTGGGAGAATGTTGTTATTCAGCATGATGCATTTGAATGGCATGATTAAATGCTAAATCTCTTTTGTATTACTATGTGGCCTTTCTGTACTGATGCAAGTGTTTCTCAGAGGCCCTTTTGGGTTCTGTAATTAAAAAGCTTTACAGGTTGCTTATTTTATCACTATGAAAATAGATGTTTTGAACTCATTAACTTTGCTCAGAGGTGAACCTGTCTCTTCCCATTATGGCAGACATCAGTAGCATGGAACAGAAAATAAATGTTAAGTGAATGAAGACGGAAGCTGTCAAGTAATTTAGATCCACAATTTTTCTACTCTAAAATTGTTATAATCTGATGGTAAATGTTTTCTGAACTCTAAATATCTTGCTTTTTATCCACCACTCTGAGAAATTAAAACAAATAATAAACAGTGGCTTTCTATTACTCTGTGGCATTTCTCTTTGCTGTTGTTCTCACATCTTTGCTGATATCCAGACAAAGAAAGGATCCTCTTGTTTCTTATGAAGCACAACAAGGCTAGGGGAAGGGAACAGGTATTACCAAATGGAAAAGGATAAACTTCTATGGAAGTTGCTTTTAAACTTCAACAAATAGCTATACAAGCTAACACCACACGCACACACACACACACACTGAACATTTATCCTGTTAGAGGGGCTGTATGTAATATTTGGTGGGAGGGATGGAAGAGGAGTTGGGATCTTAACTTTTTAAATTTAGCATGTTTTTGCTCTGAAAAGTGACTCTGTATGTGGAATCATAGGATTTTCTGTTTGTTTGTTTTTTCTCAACGACTTCACATTATACTCGGTGGCTTTACTAGTTAAAATGTCTCTTCTAATTGTGAGTGTAGCAAACACCCTGAGATCTGAAAGTCAACCTGGTTTCATCCAGTCTCTCTCATACTCACCCGTAATAATGTATCTGCCCTTGTAATTTAATTACCAAATTTGCATTTATTCAAAGAGCTCTGGAAGGGCTGTTACATCTGATCTAGTCACAGTACATTCATGAGAAAGTGACACTTCAGGTGTAGTTACCAAACTGAAATGGCATACCAAACTGATATACAAAATGTATTCTGAAATTGTTATATTACGTAAAAATGTAATAGCTCGTATAATCCTAACTACTTCTTTCTCTTTCTATCCATGTATAGAGAATAGTGATAAAGAAACTACCTCACTGGAAATGCCATCTTTACCATCTTCTGATGGATTTAAGAGTCCAGTCCATTCTTCAGGACTAAGTTCCAAGGTCTGTAATCCCACAAATCAATTACTTGATCACTCCGTCTCCGCCCCTGCTTCAATTTGCTCACACAAATCTAGTCTAGCAGAGAGAGATCCTACAGCTGTGAAGTCTTTGGAGTCACCAGCTGAATGTCAGCTAGCTCCAGACCCTCTTCTGTTACAAAATCTTTCTGATCATGCTGCTCGTTCAGCACAGAATGACCATGCTATCCAGACTGGAGCAGTAGCCTGTCATAGTCCAACTATACCTTCACAGAACACACTTGAAAAAACAGTCGCCGCTGACCATCCAATGAAATATAATATTAAAGAACAAGCCCATGGTCTGGAATCTCCTATGGAAGTGACAAGAGAAGGCAGTTTGGCTGACACCACCAGCAAGCATGGGCAGCAAGCAGTTCTAGATGTACCATTGCCTTCAGAACAGCTGGAACTGAACCAAATGAATGAGTTTCCTTTGGATCTTCAGACACACAAAGAACCAGTGAGTGAACAATGTCTGGATAAACAGAATGAACCAACTGAGCCAGAACATCCTTGTAATGTCAGTGCCCTTGAGTTACCTGCTGTGGGGGAGCAAGGCCTTACGAACATCCAGCCAGACTCACCCATTGACTCTCTTACTGAGAGAAGAAAAAGTGGGCTGAAGAATATAGAGCTTTCGTGTGGGAAAGAAAATATCCCAGTGTCAGCATCCTGTGGCTGTACATGTACCGAAATCTTCATGGAAACAGATGTAGCTGAGCAGTCTGTCATCACAGTGCATAGCTTGCCAAGCAAACAGAACGCTCAAGCGAAGAATATTGGTGGATCTGTTCTGAACTTAGATTGTTCTTTGATGCAGGTGGAGTCATCAAAGCATGACCCCTCTGTGTCTGTATTTTCGAGTAACCCGGTTTCCACTAGTGATTTACTGCAGCCTGAAACCAACGTTGAAATGACTGCAGTATGTACTGAGTTACCTAATTTATCAGCTGAAAATAGCTCTTCCTCCTCTGACATTCGTCAGCTGAACGGTGATACAGCAGCATCCACTGAAGAGCCAAGTTTATCTTTAACAGCAGCGTTGAAGGAGCTTCATGAACTTTTGGTTATAAATAGTAAAGGAGATTCTGTCATTTTTATGTCTGAAGAAGACACAGGTCAGCCAGAAACTGTTCTTGAAGAGCAAATGGAATGCAAGGAGCTTTCTGATGATGAACATGAAAGTGTGGGTCCAGAGAGTGGGGATCTAAATAGTTCTTTTCATATGGTGATGCCTGAACATGTGAACCCTGAGGGGCTAGCAGGGGCACCATCTTATGCTATGGGAATAGAAAATGCTAGCATCAAGGTTTTAACTAGCAGCCAGTCAACTGTTGAAAAAGATGCTCTAGAGATACAGAAGTCATCAAGTAAGAGTGATTCTGTCATTCTGAGCTCAGTTGCAACATTTGATCAACTACAGAGTACTGAGCAGGCAGAAATTTTACCTGAATGTTTAGTAAATGACCGAGTTCCAGCCAGTCAGACTTTAGAGCTGAATAGATCACGTTCACCTGAGCTCACGGTGGAGGATGATGTTCCTCGGGATGCTCAGAGCCTGTTAACAGAAGTGTCTGAAATAAGTGACAGTTCCTCGAATCCTGAAGATCCAAGGCCACCATATGGACTTGTTGAGCCATTGCTCTGCCCACCAATCAGCAATCTGGAACTGCGCTCCAGAGCTGCTCCGCTGCCTGTTTTCCCTGCAGCAGACATTAATCAGATTCTGCGCGCTGGCTTTACCATGCGGGAAGCTCTTGAAGCTTTGGAGCAAGCTGGTGGAAATGCAAACCTTGCTCTTCTCTTTTTATTAGCCAAGAATATTGTAGTTCCTACGTGACCATGGAAAAGATGGCCTGGCTGCTCCATCCTCCTTTTAAAGAACGTATCTAAATTATATAGAATAACCTGCAAGCTGAATGTTGTCAGATTTTAAAAAAAAAATTATTTTCAGCCAAAGTAATTTATGATCTCTTCTGTGTGTTTCGCGCGTTAAAATTGGGCCTTTTAAAAGAAAAGTCTTGGCATTGTGTAAACACATTAGCTTTGAATTTTCCTTGAGATGGTGCATACTGGAATAAAATTGTTTTTATTTAATAGTATGGTTTTAGAATGAGCTCCGATATTATGAATTAAAAAGCAGAAGCCATTGAGAAAACCACCACCCTGTTCAGCAAAAAGCAGATTGTGAAATGAACTGAATGTGCATGTACGTGCATCCCCAAGGCAGTGCAGAGCATGTGCTGTTATAGGAGACGCGCACACAAGCTAGGAATTCAGTATGGTACAAACTGAAACAAAGTTTGTTAAATTAAGCTGTTTGGAATTGTACCAGTCATCACTCTACTGTGCTTTATAATCTGATGCTGATGAAGAATTGTAGCGGCTACTAGAGGTATGTCAGTGCCCACAGGGCTCCAGATCCAAAAAAGTTTTGCAGGGATGTTCAAAGCTCGCACCTTTTTGTGCGTTGAAAGCTGATGCCTAGGTTGCCAAAATGTAGTATGCTATTGGGCCAGCGTGTTAAAGTTTACATAGTGGGGCAGGGGGAGGAGGGAGATAAAATTTGGTGCTACCAAAAATAAGAGACAAGGCAAATGATCTGAAGATATCCTGGTGTTAATCTTTTATTTCATTTCCCCAGTGAAGGGTATTTTACCCCTTTATAGATTTGCCCATATCTTCCTCCACAGAGAAGGGAGGGGTGGGGGGGAAGCCTTCTTAAGCAGATACCTTTTAATTTGTTTTGTTAAACAATTTCATTAATTGCATCTGTTGCTATGGCTCTTTTCTCCTTTTGCCCCAGTCCCCTACAAAGGCCTATCCTGTAACTGTTCAGAGAACGAATTCTCTACGCGCTGAGTAGGGACATAGAATTAAAGGGCTGAAGACATTTGCTTTGCACTCGTTTATCTCAATGCTTGGGGGTGATCAACCTCTCAGCCCTTTTTAAAATGAACACTCCAAGGCTATGATCTTCACTGTAGAAATCTTCACTGCAAAAACTCTCCGTGGATCGCAGTGTAGTACCATGTGATAGATGAAGTCTCTCCACATAAAGCACCTTGAAACTAGGGCACTGATCTGGCTTCTGTATTACAACCATTGAAGCCTTTCAGGAGGTTCCCATCAAGAACTGTCTTTTTAGGATCCACAGAGACTGTGCTCAGGAAAGCCTGGTTCCAGGGAATCAGGTGCTTTCCTGGGGATGAACTACTCTTTCTCCTGCTTTACGGAGGTTCATGACACGATTGAGGAGGGGAAGAGGGAAAAGCATGATAAAATGTGATACAAATTGTGGGTAGAAACCTTAAGCCGGTCCCTTTTGCAAATCTCTGAAGTGGCTTCACCTAAAATGTAATCTCTGACTTCCTGCTTCAGACAAATAAACTGAAGTCGTGAGTCCACAGTGACTGACGATCCATTTTCTCAACACATTATGTACGTTGGGTTTGTCTGGGGCTCAGAACTTGTCCCTATTTTTTCTTGCTTAGAATATTTGCATATGTGCATTTGGGGGCTTTCAGGGGAGTGATATATAAACCGCATACATTCAATCGGATATATAGACTTGTGCGAGTCCCTGATGGCAGAGAGGGATAACTTGGGGTTTTTTGTGTGTTTTTTTTCAGTGCGTAATGTAGTCAAGGACAGCTTTGAGGAGTCCTGTGAACACCCAATAGAGCTTTCACAGGAATTGTGACTATAGAACTGAACCTAGGAAACATCAGATGATTTATTTTAAACCCTGCTCAAGGCTTCTTGAGGAAATACTGGTGTTTCAGGATTTTTACCAAGCACTAAAGCCTTGATAAGCAGGTGGTGGCAGTAAGCACCTTATGAAGTATTCTACAGTGAGCAGTACCCCTGTGGTAAGCTGTAGTGTCTTGGGTCATTATTGTAGAACTGACTTATAAGAGCCCTTTCTAAAGGGCCTTTGGAAATTAGATGTACTCTCCTATCCTAGAACATCTCTGGTCAAATGGAACTGCTGTAGGAATTTTTGAGGGGAAGTTCTATGGCCAGTGTCATACAGGAGGTTAGACCAGATGATCATAATGGTCCCTTCTGGCCTTGGAATCTATGAAGCGATCCCAATTTGCCTCTGCTTCAGCTCCCTGCAAACAGTAGCTAGTAGTAAAGCGCCTTTCTTTCCCATCTAGACTGTTCTCAATCCAAACAGCCAGGCTCTGCTCCTAGGTATGCTCTTGCAGCACCATGGACTTCAGTGGGATCTTCTTGGAGAAGATGCTTGGCTGGTATAATCGGTCATCGCTCAGGTGAAGACACCAGCTGAGGGTCTGCCCTTTTGTGTATATGTAAGATCTGAACTTGCTGCCCTTAGCACACAGTTTGATTTACAGCCTGCTGTTTAAAACACCAGATATTAGTCATCCGATGTTACAATACCCGTGTCAGATTTGTGTGTTAATTTTTTTACAAGCAGTTGCTAATAGCTAAATGGAAGTATGGCTGCTTTGCACCAGACCGGTTGAAGGTTCTAGTTTTATGGCCATAGTTAGTTACAGATTGCACCTGCACAATTTATGCTAATAAAACGTTAGCGCATCCGCCAGTTGGCTTTGATCATTTTATTTTTTTTTCTGGCATATACTATCGTTTTTAAATTTTTATGTTTTTGAACTCTGCCCGTGCTTTACAGAAAATAAACGCAAATCAGTACTGCTAGAATTTCCTGTGTCCCTTTCTCTAAATGGCTGGAAACAAACCCCAAAATTGTAAAATAGCTGCAAATACTACTTAAGATCCATCTTAACCTGGTGAGTTTAAGGTCTTTATTATATGAAACACTACTTTGAGTGAGCAATGCAGTTGGATTAAATTAGAGAATAAACAGAACTGAATAATGTTGTCTCTTAAGGAACAAGATCCAATAAACAGAATTATAAAATTGAAAAAAAGTTTGATTCTAAAACAATTTACTTGAATCTTCTTAATCCAGTAGACTGCATAGCGTTGTTTTTCCTTAGAGAGAGTGCTACCTAAGAACTGTCTTCTATTTTAATGTGTAGCACGTGTCCTTTTGCTGTGCAGTATGCTACCTCTGTACAAAGTGATGTGGAATCACTGTTGGATGACAGTGATAGGACAGACTACATATATTTGTCCTCAGAGGAGAGGATTTTGCCTCTTCCCCCGTCTTCCCCCTCCCCCCACCCCCTCAAAAAAAAAAAAAAGGATGTCAGGGGGGATAGCTCAGTGGTTTGAGCATTGGCCTGCTAAACCCAGGGTTGTGAGTTCAATCCTTGAGGGGGCCATCTGGGATCTGGGTCAAAAATCTGTCTGGGGATTGGTCTTGCTTTGAGCAGGGGGTTGGACTAGATACCTCTTGAGGTCCCTTCCAACCCTGATATTCTAAGAGTTCGGGCTTGATTTTTTTTACAATGCAGATGACTTTCCTCCCCAAACTCTTAGAGGGGATTAGAATCCACCCTGTGTAAACCAATTAGCACAAATTAAGTATTTTGTCTGAGGATTAAAACATCATTTCTGATTAACATTGCATGCATCAGACAGAACTGCCATGTAACTATACAGTCAACTTTATGATCAAATCCGAGTTCATCTGACGCTAACAAGGAGGGGTCGGAGTATACTGAGAACTAGCTGGCTCTGTGAGCTGGAGCGGAAGGCAAAATGAAAGAGGAGCAATGGCGAGAGTGGAGCGAATTTTCTGTTTGGTCTGGTAATCCTTTGACTCTCTCTTAATTCTTGCCAAGAAGTGGACCCATCTCAGGCTGGTATTTTCCAAAAGTCTGTGTGCAGCGAAGTTCATTGGCCTTTGTCCATTGCCAAATTGGAATTGAGCACTTGTTGATAGCTTCAGGAGAGGCACCAAAGATTGAATGGGCCGTGTAAACTACTCCCTGCACCGAAAAGGAGTCTTTCCAGATTCGTTGCACTTATTTAGCGCCTTAAATCAAAGGCTCTTGAAACTCTGCAAACAACTGAGTTAAATCTTGTGACACCCTGTTCAGGGAGGGAAATGTTTTCCCTATTTTACATATCAGGAAACTGGCCCAGAGAAGCTGCGTCTTACTCAAGATACCAGGAAGTCTTTGGTAGCCTTTGGCAAATCACTTAACGTCTCTACCTTAGTCCACTTGTAAAGTGGGGATGATATTTCTCTCGCTTAGCAGGGATGTTGGAAGGATTTGTAAAGCCCTTTGGGTCTGAGACGATGTAACTGAAGAGTATTATTTCTAGACTAAGGTGTACTGATGCTGCTAGGCATTTTACAGAACTGGGGGCTTGAGGGGACTTCCAGTGGGCTTAGGATCCTTTTCCTACATCTACCTGTCACCTCCCAGCACCCAACCCCATCATCCCTGTTGAGAGAGGGAGAAAGAGGGACCTTGCGGTGGGGTATGCATGTCTTTTCGCCTGGCTCCCTTTCAGATTTAGAGCCCTATTGTTTTCTTCCCTTGCCACCTGCCCATCCCTGGGATGTTCTCTTAACCTCCCCTCCACCTTGCTGGCTCTAGAACCTAAATACCATTCTCCTTAGAGGCCTGGATAAAGGTCATAACTTCAGTTTGGCTTTAAGGGAGCTAATGTGGCAGCCCCAGGACTGACCCCCAATGCAGCATCTCTGCTGAGTTCAGACATTGTTCCTAAGAAACAATCTGGATTAGAGACTCTTTGTGCCCTTTGACCAGCATCAACCCTTCTCTCCCTATTCAGAGCAGTTACCCCAAACAGGAATATTTCTCTTATCTGTTTCCCCACACCCCAAACTTTGCCAATGCCTCTCAGTTCTGACCCACAGAACCCGGGCTGCTCCAGCCTGGGGAAAACCTCTCCAGGAGCATCTGGGCTCTACCACCTTAAACGGACATTGGGGTGGTGTTAGGTCTTGGTACTACACAGCGCTTTGCTCATGGGCCCTGCTCAGTTCATCAACAACTGGGTAAAGTACCCAAATGATAAATGTCCTGTGCTATAAATAGGACTGTTCCTACTCTTCCATCCTCCTACTCAACTCCAAAGCAAACCCATCAACACAGTGACCCATCCGTCCCCTTCCTAGTGCCTCCCTGTGACATGTATAAGTGGCCGGGGGAAAATATTTAATGTGGAACCACAGGAACAATCAGAAGCTTCTTAATAAAAATCCCAGTATGTAGGAAATCCTCTGTCGGTAGCCATTGTTCCCGTTGAAGGAATTCTCCCATTCCCGTATTTAAAGTGTTCTGTGAAATGGGGCCAGGGCTTACCAAACTATTGGCATCTGAATTTTTTTAGGCACGATGGATGTCTGCAGAAGAGGATGGTGCCAGGGATACGCTGGGTGGGGGAAAGGAGGGACCTCTGCCGTGCTGAGTAAAGTAGAGCGTGGAAACCTCTCAAGAAATGGATGGTGGTGATGTGGAATGTATCGCTTTACAGAGGAGGGCAAAAGACCTCCTTTGGTCCATTCCCCCTAGATTGGTCTGGGGTTTACTAGAGTTATAAAGTCTGCTAGCCAACGAGCTTGGCTTGTGGAAAAGACTGTGGATCCATAATGTTAGGACTTGGAGATCTGACTGTTTCAGATGGTGCAGAGGGGTCATCTTTACAGGTGAAAGGATACTGCCCTGATGGCCCATTCAATACTTGGCCTTATCTGTGAGGCTGACAACAAGGGAGACAATTGTGCTGGTGACTTTTGTGATGCAAGTACCAGCTACTGGGTAGGTTTGAAGTAGATTGGCCGGTGATCCGGGAAGGGGGGAGTCCTGCAATGCTGCTGCCTATGCTCAACCGTCTGTGGATAGCGGAACTTTGCTCTTCAGGGCTGTCAACCAGGCACAGCTTGAAAATGTTCCCGTCTCTCCATCTCTATCCATGTCAAGCTGTTTGGTTACGATTTGACTGATGCTTTTTAGCTTAAGGGTTTTGCAAACTCACTTAAGGAACTTGAGGGAATCCGTACTCAGGAATCCTAAAGCTGGTTGCACTTGTCACTTACTCTTCTGGGCTGAGCATCTGTGTTTTTTCTTGCAGCTGGGTGTTGAGCAGGGAAGATTCCTTAATCCTGTAATGGGATGTAGTTCTGCCCTCCGTAATACACACGAGCCTTTTTTTATTTGACTTGATTTTTTTTAATATTGGGGAACTGTTTCTCCAGGAAAAAATTGATGTGCAAAAACCAATTTGATATTTAAAAAAATAAACAAAAGTTTTATCACAATGTTGTCTGGTCAATTTGTTGACACCATTAATATACCAAGATCATTTCCTCTGCTTTGCGATATATTGACCTCTACTACTGGCCTCTCAGCTTCAAATTCTTATCCTTATTTCTTTCCTAAGTGAACGTGATTTCCTTGTAATATTTCCATTTTGACAAGTAATGAGCTAAACAGAAATTTACACTGTTGTAAAAATCCTCGCTTATGATGGGTTCAAGATAGTCATGTGAGAGCTTGATAAATTTCTGTTTGACATCCTCGGAGCACTACTTTAGTATGGAACCTTAACTAAGTAAATCACATGTGCAAGATGTTGCATTCTGATTGGCTGCAGCATGTATTCACAGAAACAAGTCAGGCCACCTATACAAACGATCTCTGAGGCAATCAGAACACAGACATACGTTTTGTCTAGATCTTTAATTTAATCCTTTTTCCAAAAAAAAAAAACGTTAAATTCATGACCAGAAATGAAAGCTCACGTTAAAGAGTCTCTTCTGCTCCCCAAGCCCATTTAACAGAAAGGGTATAAGCATTTTTTTTACAGTGATGAGGTCACAACTAGGCACATTTGGGCTGTGAAATCATCACAAAGGCCAAACTGGACAATTAGAACGTAGCTTTGGCTAATGGGCCAGAGTCTATTAGTTTTGAAAGGAAACACTTTTTTCCCTTCTGAAATTTGTGACAATAACGAAGCCATTTTTGATGGAGAAACTGCCCCAGAGTGCAGTGATTGGTTTCCATGTCTTGACCAAAATCAGGGTGTACTTACCCTTGAGGTATCTGGTGAGCAAACTTCTTAATTCACTAAGTCTTGTTCACCTCAGAAGGTGTCATTGTTACTGTAAGATAAGCTTTTCTACGCTGAAAACCAAAGCTGTTTAAGAGCACTCAGTAACAGAATGACAAAGGAGTCCATTTGAAATGTCTGAACATTGGTTTCCTCTTCACTTGCCTGCCAGGACCAGGGTTCAGGGTTCTACGCTTGAGGTGCTGAGGTGTTAAACTCCTGAAATGGTGCACGGGGCTGCTTGGGTGTTAGTGATGGCATCACTGAGGAAAAACTGAACCTTGACTGTGGCCTCTGCAAGCTAGATATGGAAGAATCTTAGAGATGGAAAAGGCCTAATAGGCCAGCAGTGAAGGAAAGTCCCTACAGAGCACTGTCTTGTTTTGTCCAGGGTTCTCGAATGGGGGGGTTGGGACCCCTTGGCGTCACGAGGTTATTACATGGGGGGTCGTGAGCTGTTAGCCTCCACCCCAAACTCTGCTTTGCCTCAAGCATTTATAATGGTGTTAAATACATTTAAAACTTGTTTTTAATTTATAAGGGGGGGTCACACTCAGAGGCTTGCTATGTTAAAGGTCACAGGTTCAAAAGTCTGACCTCCTGTATAACACAGGCCACAGAACTGCCCCAGGATAATTCCTAGAGCAGATCTTTTAGAAAAGCATCCAATCTTGAGTTAAAAATTGTCAGTGATG